TGCTGGCTGGGTTTCTTAAACCGACAACAAGTTGCGCATTTAAGGGACTCCACTTTCTTAGTACACGCAGATGTTAAATGTCCCACTTCTCCACAGTGGCCACACGATGGGGAGAGCTCCCGGCACGTTTTTGCTGCGTGACCATATTGCTGACATTTGTAGCATCTGGTCTTCAAAATAAAATGACTATTTCAATGATTTGAAATAGTCATTTTATTTTGAAGGGTTTAGGTTTTTGTGACTTTGAGTAGTTTTGTGTACCTATCTACTTATAATACTTATACTATATAAAACTATAGTTCTTAGACTCGGACCCGTTAAATACGAAGTTAAAAACTTTGCATAATATACTAAGATCAGAAATCATAATAAGTAATAGGTACTTTGGTAAATGTACCTATAATACATATTATTTTATAAGGTTACTAGCCCGTTTAATTATAATAAACCACATAATTTTCAAATTTCAGAATATACCTATTGTTTCCATAAAACCTATCGCTATGGTAATATTATTAACCCCAAACCAGATGGGGTTGCCACACAAATTAACACTGACCGTTTGCCATTTGCCCCTCGCTACCCAATTAATAGGGATGGAAAAAATAACCGTAGAAGAAATAATATCAGATTACACATGTTACATTATGTTTATGAGCTTTTGGGCATACGTATTTTTAGAAATACATTTATTTGTGGACAACGCTCCTATTACATAACAAACGAAATTAACTGACGATAATTGGATGATATTTCTTTTTATACGATTTTTGTATCTTTCTAGTTCACGGGATGACTTCATTCAGTGTGTGACGCATGCAGGACGGTCATGTTCGATACAGGCAAGCACGCTACTCCGGCGCATGGCTTGGGTACTGGCACACGACATAGCAGCCTGCAACCAGCAGCCCCGGGCATACTGCGCAGCGCCACCCCTCCCCTACACAGCCCCCATTCTCACAGCCATCTACGGATTACTATTTTATCCCCCACGTTTGTAAAATCACCATTTAATTAGTTTATAAGATTATGTACTCAGTTGAACAAGTTAAATTGTTGATTTATATAAATGACAAGGATGATTTAAATATGTTTTTATTCTGAGTCTCTCTGTTAACAAAAAAATGTACATAAATTTAATTATGAAATGAAAATTATAGAAGTAGCTCTCGCCATGTAAATAATAGTCAATCATCATCATCCAAATATTACAGCTATAATACTCATTTCATGCAGATTAAAAATCATACATTTTTTTATTCAATAATTCAGTTCAATACTCGAAGTCTAGACTAAACTTATGTTCGCTCATTCATAGAAATAAATCCAGCTTGTTAAATACAAAACTCATGAAAAACGTGCCTGTCGAAACGGTATGATTGAATTCTAATATATTTTCTTCACAAATATTTGAAACTCAAATATATGCCAAGATCAAAGAGTTTAACAAACTCTTTGTGCAAGGAGTTGAGTAATCCTTTGGTAACTTTGTCCTTAAGTTATAAGTCTATACTGCAAGTGTAAACATAAATGTATAAACACCAAAATTGTACATATTCACCCTCTCATTAAAACCTTAACTTGTATCAGATAACAAATAATTTAGCTTTATAAACTTTACGGAAAAGTTACCTGTGGAAAAATTATTTGATGTAAAGTCGTCCCAATATCCGGCAACACAATATATGTATTGCAAGCTAATGGGTGCCTACATAATTATGTAAAATGAGCCTGTATGAGACATAGCAGTGAAATAGACATTTTTATAAAATAGTTGAGTTTATAAAATCAACTAAAATTATGGTCTAAGTTCAAGTGAAACAAATTGTATTTTGCCAAAGTGTGTGTAGATATTTTAAAATACTATAGTCGTGCTATTAGTTTAGAAATATGTAAAATAGTTTATATGTATGTACTTTATTATATTGATGTAAATAGTGAGATAATTTAATTATTGGTTTAAGTAAAATAAGTATGAATTTTGTACACATAATTGTATACCCCTTTTGTTGTTTACATAAAATTACAACATTTAAAATAGATCCAGTTTGTACTAAGTTGTTTTGCTGAATGTTTCATGTAAAATTAAAAGAGAAATAAATAAATGAAATTTAAAAAAGGAACCGTTTTTAATTTTCGTTATTTGTTAATCCTGCATATTTCCAATAATGAAATATCAAGTTGCTTGTTTTTCTTTTTATTTTGTTTGACGTTCAAAACTTCGTCTTGGTCTAATAGATATAAATGATTTTGAGTTTTTTTTATTACTTTCTTTCCCGCCTCCCTTGTCGTCCCATTTTCTTTATGCGACGTAATTAACACATGAGATGAGTTTTGAGGTTTCATCTAATTATCGCCATGGTATTAGGACAGAAAGTTATAAAATATGCATAACACAAATGAAAATGTATAAATATATTGATAATACCATTATTAAACAAATATTATAAAAACATTTTTTTTTTTGGATAGTAGTAGTAGTAATAGTAGTAGTCTGTTGTAGACTTTTTTTTATAGCATAAGCCTGTAAATGAGCAGACAGATCACCTGATGGTAAGCAATCGGCGCCGCTCATGGACACTCGAGTTACAAGTGCGTTACTGGCCTTTTGGGAATTGGAAATTTGAGGATTATGGAGGAGGAGGGACTCCGTGCTACATCTTATTAAGATTTAAAAAAACAGTAATACTTTGAATATTAGATTACAGGTTTGCATAAAAACATTTACCCTCAATATTCCTCTACTGTTACAAAGGCGAAAAGCTTGAAACAAATCAAGAATTACCGATAAGTCAAAATTCACTGTCGTAAGCATTACTCAGAGACGATAAAAAATATAATGACACTTGTTAGAAATGTCAATTTCTTTCAGATTTTTTTAATTGCTGAGAATTTGCATAATTGGTTGTTTTCCATGTCTACTATCTCTTTGACAGCTTTTATATGATTGACGTAAGTACTACCGAGCAGAAAACTCAATCCTTTTGATTATTATTAAGTACGATGAATAATATAAATCCCTAACAAAATATCATCATCATCATCATCATCATCAACAGCCTATACCTAAGTGCTCACTACTGAACAAAGCCTCTTCTCACACGGAGAAGGTTTGAGCATTAATCACCACGCTTGCTAATTGCAAGTTGACGATTTCAAACTTAAAATTAGAAATTATAAGTTCAGGTTTCCTCCCGATGTTTTCCTTCACCGTTTGTCAACGGTATCTAAATAGAAAGTACATATAACTCGGAAATAGTCACATTGGTACTTGCCGTTTGTAGGGTTTGTAGGTTTCAAACCCGCGCCCTCATGCATGAGAACCGGGCGTCTTCACCTCTACCTCGAGGTAGGGCACCACGACAGATTTCTTTCAAGAATTGAAACTAATTACCTTTCTAGTAATGGGTTCGTTCCTTAAATCAAACAAAATGCTTTATTTTTGTTTAAGACTGTTTTCAACCGACTTCAAAATTAGGTAACCGACTTCAAAATTAACCAACTTCAAACAAAGGAGGTTCTTTATTTGACCTGTATGATGTATGTATGGTTGTGCACGATTATCTGGCGATTAGCTGAACTGATTTTGATGCGGTTTTTAGAATTTTTTTTGTAACAATTAGGCTTCAAAAATACAGGCGGTTGAAGCCGTTTTTTTAAACGTAGTTTATAATTGAAAATATATGTATTCTTGGTAGGTAAGTAATCAAGCTCTCAGCCCCCATGTTTGTGAATGCTCTAGCCATATTATGGTACTATTCCTAACTGAGCTAGTAAATCTCGTTTTCATAAACTTTTGCACTGAAATGTATTCCCTCACAGTTTGACAGATACTGTAACAAACTATTCATATCTAAAATTAAAATCTCTTCGTTATTTGTGTGAAAAACACGGGTTGGTTTACATACAGCTGGTTTTATACCTAAACTCAACTAATGGAGAGCAGTTGTGGATAGCCAGGGACACACTTTTATGTCAGTAGTCCCATGTTTCCATCATATTCTAAATACCATTCCACACACCGTGGGATTTCTAAAATATATGGGATTTCTAAAAACCGAAAACATTAGCCGACTCGGAAATCGAGAAACTTGAGTTGGCCTCGAGGTCCTTTTATGCGATCCTATTAGGTATTCTGCCTATATTAATAAAATAACAAATCAATTTTAATAAGAAACTTTAGATACCTTAATGAAAAAAGAATTATATTGTAAAAAATATAGATATTATTTTCTTATTATTTCCATTTAAAATATCATAAATTTCAATTTACGAAACAATAGAAATATTATTATATTTATATTGGGTAATAAGAACAAAATTCGAAAACTGGCACAAAATAAAACCACAGATAAAACAAAGCCACAAAATACTCATATTTTAAATTTGAATAAAGAACCAAAAAGGCGGGAACCCTTTACCCTTTCCATTTAATTTAATCAACGCTGCGCTGTTGCAACTTTTAATTTGTATCTAAAATTTACTTACAATAATTACCTACAAGTAAAATAATATAAACCAAATTAAACATGTTTCGACCCGAAGACCAGCAAGTTGAAATATGTTTACTCAAGTCGAATTTAGAAGAAATCGAAAATGAGTTAGTGATTCAGGTTAGAAATACATCATACAATCTTTTACACATTTTTACATTTGATAATCTTAGTAAGTATACTATTATATGTAAGTATAAAACTGAAGAGTTTATTTTTTTGAACACGGTAATCTCAGGAATTTAGGGGCCAATTTGAAAAAAATATATTTTTGTGTTGGATAGTTCATTTATCGAGGAAGGCTAATATGCTATGAAACCGCGCGGAAGTAGGTAAGTAGTAGGCCTATTGTATAAAATAACTTACCTAGGCAACATAAAAGTAAAATAAAATAGATAATTGAAACCCAAAATAAGTACATACATTCGTATTTATGAAGCCATTTTTATTACTTTTTATTACTTATCAAACTGCAAACGCTGGAGTTCTAATGACACTAGCAAAGCAAAGATCTTTTGTAATTTTTTTGGCAAAAAGTATATGTGTGTGCTAACTAACTATATATTGTATAGGTAGCGTCATCCTCGCTAATTATACTAGTAGTAGGCACTAATCTGGGCACGCTGTCACAATATTTAAAGATGAACACATTCATCAAAAAAATATTTATACTCTATGGTCATCTCACTGGCAACATCATTTACTTCAAAGCATACCTGCAACTGCAACACAACTCGACCAGGGGTAAAAATAAACATGTTTATTATCCGGGAAGGGTTGGGACCTAGCGAGGATGACGCTACCTACACAATTGAGGATCGGACGTCACAGGTAAGTTAGTCCGATCTATTTAATTGTATAGGTAGCGTCATCCTCGCTAATTATACTAGTAGACGTTCAAAGAAGGAGTTGTGTTGACAAACAACACTGTTTAATCATTGAACATTGTTGCACTTAAACAAGACATATGACATTGTCAATAACATCAATATCTCACGAGTACTTTATAGTACTATAAAAAATAGTAAAAACTTAAGCAATAATCAAATTACGTTTATAATTTCCCCAAGATGTAAGCCACTAAACCATTATTAGATATAATAGCTACTTATGGTTATGGTATTGTTTTCAATCATTTTTGTCAAATAAAAATACTTCTAAAATTAAATACATTTTAAAAATAGTATTAAAAATAAACAGAAGCCCAAAACACGGGTTATCTTAGTTTGGGTTCCTGACTTTCATCATTGCATTGTCAGGTAAACTGCATTAACCCTATGTAGAACCAAAGTGAAGTGAAGAGAAGAAACAAGCTTATGTCAATATTATAAGATTAATATTAAGATCTACATCATTATGTATTGTGATGGAAAAATAATTAAATTTCCTTATTTATTAATTTAATTATTTAGTAAGCATAGCAACAATATTATTATCTTGAAATTCTGGTGTCCACTACACCAACTATAGGTACACCTACTATGTACGTTTTGAACTATAACGTTGTTCAAATTCAGTCTATTGCGAAAATTTAACGTCTTTCAATAGGTTGTTTTCTTCAAAATTATCAGTTTCTTTTTTTTTTTTTTTTTTTTTTTTGTATATATATTATCTAACTTCTCCATTTTCAGTAGATCTACATTATGATCATGACTCCATACATAGTGATATACAGAGCTAATAAGCTCATGCAATATTAGGATTGTTGGTGGAAAAATGGATTGACTGACCAGGCAGTCGTCTTACTTAAATATATGACTTTGATACTGATTGATACATCTCTGTGAGGCTTTAGAAGAGGTTGAGAGTCCACTGTTATAGTACTAGACATACATTCACTTGAAATTGTAGAATATGATTGATCCCAGAACAATGATTTAAAAATTGTTCTTAAAAATAAAAAATAGTAGGTAGGTAGGTACTATTAAATATGGTTCAGGTTTATTGGCATTATCATTTAGGTACAATCTATAGTGATAGAGATAGTGTGAATTATATGTGCTAATTAATTGATGTTTTAAACTAAAGTTTTAAGCTAAGATTATCATTGGAGTACATACAGGTACATAATAATATTGATTTATTTAGATTGTCATGTACACAATACAATAAAGTTACGGTACATGGTGAACTTGATTCCAAGTGGCATATTCTACCAGTAACCCTCAGGGTTTTAAATAATAATTGTAATAATACACAATTATGTACCTATTTTAGAATAAAACTGGAACCGCACACCACATATTAAAGTTTCTTTTTCTTTTTGGCCTTAATTTGTATACACTTCTAAAAAATCTTGTAGGTAGTTTCTTAATAATTTCACACAAGAGGACCTAGGACTAATGAAGTACCTATCTAATAGTATTCAATAAACTGTATGATAGGTAAATTTAGAAGTAAAAATATAATAATCACAACGGATACATATGCTGAAAAAGTCAAAGCAAAGTCGTATTGCTGTTTTGTTTTACTTTACAATGTGATGCTAGCATTATTCCCATAGAATGCAGTACCTATTCCTTTTCTTAGGAATTCATTCCTGATTATATGGTGGTGACTACATTGTATATGTTGTGTAAAGTGGGTGAACTTCTGGAAGGAAACAACCAGAGATAACACTAGAACTTAATGAGGTTCAGAAACTTGAGTTGAACCGTGGGTATCAATAATGGATCCTAATAACCTTTGCATATACCCCCCCCCCCTTTTTCTCTTTATGACTTTTAAAATTCCGAAAAGAAGGAGGGCATGGAAAAAGAATCTTCCTGCACTTACTGAATAGTGAAAACAACAGTAAAGATATCAGGGTCAGGAACCCATGATACATATATTTCAGTCTCTTATACTTGTTTGCCTATAGATCTTTGGCGTGATACACCAAGTGGTTTTGGAGGCAAACTTTGATTTAAACTCGTGCGAATGGGACATCTGAGTTTATTTAGGTATTTCTTTACCGGCCTTATTTTCTTTTAAGGTGTAAACATTTATTCTAGATTAACTTAAATAACAAGTGTTCAAGTTCTTTTTGGTAAAACAGAACGTATTTGACATCTGATGTTTTAATGTCAACATGTCAAACAAACGTAAATATTGTTTACAGTGAATATTTTGTTGTGCGTATTCGCTTAATAGTTATTATATTGGCCTTACAATTTCAATTATTAACCTAATTTTAACATGGAGCCAGCCAAATTCCATAGCTGGGCGAGCAAACAATGTTAACTTTAAAGTTGAACGGAATCAAAAATCTGCAACTTTTTGTTTAGGTCATACAATTTTCATTATACTTGTAATAAAATCCACCTTTTTAAGTGGCACTTATATAGAGTTGTCTAGAGTAAGAAATTAATCCTATATACTGAAAGAATCACCCTTTTCAGTATAAATAATATTTAATACTATACCAAGTTTACAAGAATACTTCTGTAAGGTTCTGTATTAGTAATATAGTCTAGACATTTCTTATGTTCTGCAAAATTAAGGAATATCATCAACATAATTTCGTGTAATCAATACTATACAATGTATAAGGTTACTCTTTGGGAAGACAAATAAGAACCGCAAATGTTTGTCATTCACCATTTTCCTTCACTGATATTAAATAAAATGCATTCTTAAGTTGATCATGCATCTGAAGACACTTCAACATATGAGGAGTTTTAGAAATGGTTCTAGATCCATTGTTTATATTAATAGTAACATAATTTATTATAGTCCTTAATTATTTAATTGCCTGAAGGACCATTTGTTCTGGAATGTGAAGATAAACTGGCAAGTAATCACTTAGTCAGTTATCTACATATATGGTACAGTACAGCACCTTAGCTTTAACAATTTTCCTTCAGAAGTAAAATTATTTTGCTTTTACACCTATGTGGGTATTTTGTGGTATATTTGTCTGAACAGGAATATCAGTGATGGTAATTTATACCTATTAATCCAACTAAGTATGGTTGGGAAACCTAAAGCAGAACTCTATTGTTCAGAAAGGTAATGTGATCTACCTGTACTAGCGATGATCCGGACCTCAGTGCTGTGGGTAGAATTAGAAATTCTGTAGAGGATGCATCGGCCTTGTTGATTTTCTTGTAATCATGTGTTCGCTTTAGTTTTGGTTTTTGCTCACACACACACACACACACACACACATATTGTTTGTACATCACACAGTGTTTGTTGATGTGGTTGGCATGAAGTTGGTAGTCTAAAAGGTTTTCTTGGATGTTCTCCAATTCAAGTTTAGACTCTCTGATAGCTTTACTTGCAATAAACTTGTCTTGAAGCACTATTTATTACTGTATATATAGCTAGAACACCTATTTGTGTTCTGATCTTCATTCAGGGGCACATGTTAATAATTTACAGAGCAGTCTGGCTGTATCCTTAAAATCTTTAATAGGTTTGTTAATTAATTTGCGAACAGTAACTGCTCCTAGAGTCATTTGATATTCACAATCCTATCGTCTCACTCAATCCCATCTTTATTTAGTGGCACCTCCTCCCCTCCTCATTTATTTGAGACATTGGGAGGAATTAGGTTATAATAATTATGAAAAGGGAAAATAAGTGTAATCATTTGATAAGAATGGCTTTGTCCAACATGCAACACTATGGAATAGCTGGCTAAGGAAATGTCCCATTTCCCATAAGCATAGGTAGCAATTGCTCCGGAGTATATTTACTGACTGGAGCGAGACTATAGGAGTAGTTTCCAACTCATGTTGATTGGCTTCGGTGCCATGCCATGGTGAGCGGCTTCAACTGGAATGGCTTCATGTTCTTCTGAGGCAAAGCGAACTGATTTTAAGTTTCTAACTGCAAGGTAGTTTAAATGATCCACGGCTAACCTCTCGTGAAAGCTCTAGGATTGCAGTTGGAAATGTTTGACTAAATGTGACTTAAACCCGTGGCTAACCTCTCGTGAAAGCTCTTGTGGTTTGCTTCAAAGTCAAGTAACCAACGGCTGACCTCTCGTGAAAGCTCTTGTGGTTCGTTCCAAAGTCAAGTAAACCAATGGCTAACCTCTCGTGAAAGCTCTTGTGGTTAATTCTATAGTAGAGTTACCAACGGCCAACCTCTCGTGAAGGCTCTTGTGGTTCGATCTACAGTAAACATGTAACCAACGGCCAACCTCTCGTGAAGGCTCTTGTGGTTCGATCTATAGTAAACATGTAACCAACGGCCAACCTCTCGTGAAGGCTCTTGTGGTTTAATCTATAGTAAACATGTAACCAACGGCCAACCTCTCGTGAAGGCTCTTGTGGTTTCGATCTATAGTAAACGTGTAACCAACGGCCGACCTCTCGTGAAGGCTCTTGTGAGGCCACCTCTCCTGAGGGCTCTTATGGTACGTTTCAAGTGTGTATGTTGCGTACACAATCATTCTCAAGGCTATCCGCTTGTGGAAGCTATTGGAAAACGCCCCACAATGTGGTGTAAGTACCTACAAGAAAAAACTTACCAAACTGACGACAACGAATGCGTCCTCTCGCCGGTTTCGCCCAATTATCCAATTCCTGCATACACTCCATCAGTTTTCCTATCTGCTTGCGACGTTTTCGACCCATTTAGTAGGAAAATCACCAAATTAAATTGAAAAATTTTCCAGGGTACGACGTGACAGGTCGTGCACAAAGAAGTACAATGATGTTGCCAGTGAGATGACCATAGAGTATAAATATTTTTTTGATGAATGTGTTCATCTTTAAATATTGTGACAGCGTGCCCAGATTAGTGCCTACTACTAGTATAATTAGCGAGGATGACGCTACCTAAACAATTGAGGATCGGACGTCACAGGTAAGTTAGTCCGATCTATTTAATTATTTGAAACACTGTGTCTCGTGTTTTATTAATATATTATATACTTAAAATTACAGCGTTCTGCACTACCAGCATTGGACGCAGAAAATGAACAAAAATATAGAGAGACTATGACTGCGCTGCGGGTCACCCGCTCAATGAACACTGAAATTGAACGGCTTAAACTTGAAAATGGTGAGTAGATAACCTTCTGTCTTCATTAGTGGGAAAAAAATGCTTTACCATGAATAGGCCGTCTCGACCAGAGTGATAGCACGGCCTCATAGACAATCGACGTAAAACAATGCTTGCGTTCTGTTTCGTCGTACGAGTGAGGTTTCCCTAACTCCACAAAATCGTCAGTCGATGATTCTTAAATGTATGTGCCGGTAACTTCTTCTTTGCGCGACAAAATCCGAAATATGGAAATTCGCCAAAGAACAAGAATTACCGACATAGCTCGCAAAATCTGCAGACTAAAGTGGCAATGGGCAGGCCACGTCGCTCGAAGGACTGACGGCAGATGGGCCAGGAAAGTCCTTGAGTGGAGACCACGGACCGGAAGACGAAGCGTGGGCACTGGGCAGGCCTCCCGCTAGGTGGACCGACGACATCGCCAGAGTGGCGGGGAGCCAGTGGATGCGGGTGGCGAGTTGTCGTTCGACGTGGAGGGCTAAGGGGGAGGCCTTTGTCCAGCAGTGGACGTCTTCCGGCTGTTGATGATGATGATGTGCCGGTAAATCTGGTGTTGTAGCTTGCGCGTGTCCATGGACGATGCTTACCATCATTCGTATTTACCTATTTGCCCGTTTCTCACTTTAAAATCCTAGTTTTTTTTATATTCTTACATAGATTACCTCTATGCGCAACTTAATTGATTAAAACATCATATTTACCCATTTACGTAACTAAATGTACATAGATCTCTACAAAATTAGGGTAGCCTTCCCAAGTATATTTTCTAGTTGACCTACGTTAAACTCCAGCTAAACAGGATAATATAACTGTAGTGTCTAGGACTTGACAGTATCTATTTTTCTTTTACCTCTTGCTTGTTTGCAATATGGAGACAGATAAATTACATCCTCCTCAAACTATGAGAGAGGTATATAAGTTTGTCAAAAGAAAATGTACTCAATAAGCCATAAAATAAGGAACTATAATTTATAACATGAGCCTGGTTGATGCTGATAGCACGGTTGTGTGGACTCGTGCCCCAAAATGGTGTAGGTATAGGAAACGAGGATATTATCAACCAGTATATAGATGATATTTATATGACGCAGGGGCCTTCTATCAATCACAGATTTAAAGAACAACATTTCTTTAAAAACAAATTGAGGGACAACATTTCTAAGAATTTCTTCTGTGTCGTGGGTGCGTTTAGAAAGATACAATACACCCAGACTCGGAAACACAATTTGTAGATCAATACACAAAAAGATTTGTTCCGCGTGGAAATTGGTAGAATTAACTCAAATAAATTATGTAGGTAACTGATTACTAAAAGTTAAAATTAATGACGATTTGATTTATTGCAGTACGATTGACTGCGAAACGTATGCAATTGAAGCGACAAAGCGATGATATTACTAAAAGCTTGGAACGGGCACGGGAGGACCAAAGTGAACTTGCAAAATCCGTGAAACAAGAAGCGCAGGAAACAGAACTTATCATGTAAGTTAAAGTTTACCCATGTTTTGATAACTTACTTAAATCATTTAGACGCGGTGTTTGATATGTAAAATGTTTAAAAAGGCAACATTATTTTTTAAGTAGTTTTTTAAGTAATACTAATACTGATCACGATTACGTTACAGTTATGTACATATAGATAACGCATACGTCCAAATACTCTAATTGTGACTCGTAATAATAATATTTAATGTGATATTTGTAGACTAAGGGTCAATTTTTCCACCGCCAGATAAATTTTGACACAGGAACAAATCTTCCTTACTAAAAACTGTCAAATGTCAATTCTATTCAACGGGGCTCCGGCTCGACGTGCAGGAGAAGGAACGGGGTGGTTTTTAGTCAGTAAGAGTCTGACACTCCCTCCCGCCTCACCCAGAATTTGGTGATTTCCCCCCCTTAAAAAAAATTTACGTCAATGTCGTTAATCTATTTTAGTCTAAAATGTCTTCAAAAATATTGAAAAGTACCTAGTAACAAATAACCATGTCCTTTGACAATCTTCGCACAATATTATCAAAGAATTTACGGTGAAACCGCATTGTTATGGTTGGTTGGCATCAATGCAATCTTACGATTGCAATATCCGCTGACAGAAACCGCTGCTCTCCTTTGTACCTCTATAATCCTGTGTAAAATATTATATCTTTGTACATTGTTAATCTAATTCTATTACCTGTTGTCACTGAGTTTGGCTTTTCGATAAATTGTTAATTTTAAATTACAGACGTCAGTATGAAGACTTATTGGAAGAAATATCAAATAGGTTCAGAAACACTCGAGGATATTACGTATGTTATTTCTGTATCTAAATTTTAGATTTAGTTCAACTTATAAAAGAAATAAAAGACTGAATCATTCGTTAAATTCTTTCCTGAGGCGGGCAATGAATGATTTGGAGATTTTCGAAAATTGACAGTAGGTAGTAGAAAAAGTTCGTGATCTTCATTAACAAATCATAGTGAAAAGTATCTAAAGGTGTTATATTAAATACATAGGTTCAGAGATTAATGAATAGGCGTATAAAAATATGAAATGTTTACTAAATAAATAAACTTTCGTTTAAATCAGAATGAAGAAGAAATTAATAAGGAAACTGAAAATGTTAATTCAACAATAATACAATTAACGGATGAATTAGAAAAGAGACAATGTATGGTAAACGAATTGAAATCACAGCTGAGTATGATTCAACCAGCTGTACCAGAAGACATCCTTACAATATTGTGAGTAGTTGATTCTTATTAGTCATCTTAATTTAACACATAATTAATTGAAAGGACTTAGATCTGAATATTCATCTAACTTCGATATATTGAGATTTTTTTGTTTTAATATATATCAATCGTTATATAATTTCGGTAACAATACGAATACTTTTTCGCAAATACTCGCTAGGGCTGTAGTCCTGCACATATTGTAGTGCCTTACTAAAAATAAGGAGCAAAATTTAACAGATACAAAGAATTGCTCATTAATTTTCCTCTTCGTATCTTTATTCAATAGGTAGTGTTGTCATATTGCAATAGCATAATTGTGTCCAGTTCTTACAATCATTATTTTCAGTATTGTTTTGGTAGTTTTTTAATTAAATCATTCATATCAACTACCTATTAATTCATTCATCATCGTCATTTTGCTTAATTGATTATAGCTAGTCTAGCGATCTCATCAGAATATCCGAATTGGTATTATTGTATCTAATAAGTTTAGGTTTACGTAGTAGCAGATAAATCAAAAATCTTTTTCAGTCGTTAATTAAAAAAATAACAAGCAACACGTTATGAAACGAATCTACCTTTTATTTTTCAGTGGAAAACAAGAATTAGATAACAAAGTACAGGAACTTTCTGAAAAGTTAGAAGCGTTGATTGAAAAACGTAAAATTCTTCTACAAAATCCAGAGTGACTTATGAATTCGACACATCTAATATAAGATTTTTTTCAATTCCTTTGATATTTCCAGAAATTGTATTCTTTAAATATTTGTTTTCTATAAATAAATACATACCTACGTATGTTTCCTGTTAATTATTTTACATTAATTCAGTAGGAATTCAACTTATACAAATACAATTATTAATAGGTTAAGCTTTGATTATAAATTAAGTACCTACTAACTTTGAAGATAACCATGAAGATTCTCTAAAAGAATCTTCTAAGTTCTTCTAATTTCTGGTACCTACTAATTTAACTGGCAAAGTTTTTAAAGGAGAATGGCAGGTTTGTATGGAGGTTTGGTACCGCTATAAAATTTTGTATTTGTCATTGTTTTAACCAAGTGAATGGTCTGAACGATAGATATTTTTATTATGAAGTGTAGAAAAAAATTACATATTTTTAGAACTTCGGGTTCAAAAGTTATTTCACTTTGAAAATGTGCAGAAGGTACGTAAAGGCGGTATTACACTTGCCATTGCGTATTCGCTTCATTTGTACAAATATTTGTGAACTACGTACAAATGGCGTCCAAATAGTATCTATAAATGTAAAAGCGTGCAAATATACGTATATAGCAAATGAAGACGAATAAACCCTCCACACATGGTCTGTTTTGGCCGTACACAACAAATACGCAATGTCAAGTATAATGCCACCTTTACGCAAAAGTACATAATATGACAAATGACAGATGACAGTTAATTGAAAAATGTCAATGTTGACTTATTTTTTATTTGGTTGTTTTGTTTACAAACTAAACTCTAAACACTGCTCGCTACTCGTGACTGTTACACTTTGTATTATGAGTAAATTAATTAACTGTTAATTCAGCAAGTATGCTGTAACTATAGAGTTTTACAGAGTATGCTTTACAATCTCTTTCATTTACTAGGTGCCTACGAAAATGCAAATTAATATTGTGAGCGACTGTCATTGGGTAGAAGGCCTACATTTAGCAGTGGACGTCTTTTGGCGGATATGATAAAACTAATGTCTCACTTCACCTTGAATCTTGCGGGCAGATGCAAGATTTAATGTGTAAAATCAAGATTCGAGGCAGAGGCCTGATATACAAATAGTCTTTAAGTTAATTCGATTTAAACTTAAGCGTAGCTCTTTGAGAAAGTATTTCTTCTGAAAACTGGTTGCTTAGCAAGCGTTTTAAGGTTTAATTTCTAATAAGTAAGTCAAATAAGTAAAATCATCATCAGTTTCATCATTAAGTCTATAAGTGGCCCATGCCGACCGAAGGTCTCTTCTCACTGGATTAGGTTTAAGCATTAACTCGTTGAGTACCGTAATTATAGACACAATTAAAGAACAATAGGTTGTGGTCATCGGTGACCGCTCTGTGTTTGACAGTTTAATCAGTACGCTAGCTTAATGTGGGTTGGTGATTTCAAACTTATAATTAGAAATTATAAGCCCAGGTTTCCTCACAATGTTTTCCTTCACCGTTTGTCAGTGGTGTCTTTGTACTTTCTTAGATTATTAAATAATAAATAAAAAATATATATACATAACTCGAAAAAGTCACATTGGTACTTTGCCGTTGCAACTTGCACTCTCATGCATGAGAAACGGGCTTCTTAAACCTCCTGGCCACCACAACACAAGTAAAGAAATGTAAAATGAAAATGAACATTTTTGGTATAAAACTAAAGCAATCTAAAATAAAGATGGCATTTATTTTATAGATTGTTTATATATAGTTACTAGGTACCTGTTTAAAATAAAACAAATGTATTATTTTGAAATACTTTTATTTCATTGTATTTAGGTTGTTTCTAGGAGTACTTCTTCTAAAAAGAGAGCAGGCGGTGTCATACAGCACACACTTCATTAATTGCTGATATCTGTAAACAAGTAAGATAACTGTAAATAAAGTAAACAAAACAACATTTTTTCCATTAGTTTCACATGTTATAATTCTGATTCCCTATCTCAAAATAGAAAAGATAAAAATAAATATTTGATTACATTATTTGATTTTACAATGTTAAAATGCCTTTAACTCGTCGAGTACCATCATTATAGACACAATTATAGAACAATAGGTTGCGGTCACCGGTGACCGCTTGGTGTTTGACAGTTTAATAGGGTATTCCTATAACACACATCATAGGAGCTCAAACAGCATGCTAATTAATCAATTATTATAATTATAACATGTGTATAAACCTATTATAAACCGGTTATACACTTCACATACCTATTGAAGCTCTGACAGCCGATCAACATCTTCTGGCCTCATCTGTTCTACAAACGGCAATGTTAAAGTGAGGCTTAGTCCATTGTGTATGTGAACTTGTATGTTTGTAAACGCACCCACGACACAGGAGAAAATCCTAGTGTGGGGCAACGTTTTTTTTTTTTTTTTTTTTTTAAATGTTTACTTAACACATTACATCCTGATAGTGAACACTATGAGGTGGTATGTCAGGTTGTGGTCTTATAGATCCGACTCTTGTTAAGGCTCTCAGCCAGCATGGAACACGATCTTCATCATTGGAAGTAAGCTAAAAAAAGTAATATTATTAGAATGTCATATTGACTTTAAATTATATGATAATAGTATATGGTTAATACAATAAATTATTACCTTTCGTGGCTGAATCCAATCAGATACTATATGAGCTAGTCTTTGCTCCTGTTCGTTGGCGCCTTCAATTAAACCCCTGCGTCACCTTATCCTTGCAATGGAATGCCCACATACGACACAGACATGTCAATGATCAGTTTGTTTGCTGGACATACTTTCAGGAACATCCCAATACATTGCTAATTGCCAGCAAGCATGGCAAATATGGTCGGTAGGAGAGATCTAGAATAAAATGATACATTATAGGTAGATAACACTATGCCCCCTTTATTTAGGCAACAAGGTGACTTTCGATACGTCATGTGTAATTATAGGTAAGTACCTACTTACATCTCTAGGATAAGTCCACAATGGGATATTGTTGACCACGTCTAGTCTTCACTCTCATTTCCTAGAGCATGCCGTCTCATGCGACAAACTCTGGTTGTAATTAATGCACTGTAAATTCGTCATCGCGACAAAATACAACACACTATGCACAAATGAAAATAAGTGTATTTTCGCAATTTCGGCTACGGAGGAACGGCTGCCCAACTCAAAGTATCACCAGATGAATAAAATGACTTCCAATTTGTACAAACACATCATAACACCGCATTCGAAACCAACAGCAAGGCGCACTTGACATTGACAAATCGTCTTCAACAACAAATGTCAAATACCAGTTCAACATTGCCATATTCAAGTTTGTGAAAATGTTAATTATCGTTAATAATCCATGTAGACCTCACAAAATGAAATTAAAATAATGATATTTACTTATAAAAAATGTTTGAAATGGAAAGGAAAATATTCCATTGATATTAAAATAAATGAGTTTATGAAATAGCGACATTCAATATACTCTGATTTCATGTTTACGCATGGCAACTTTATAAACGTCAATCGCGGTTTGTTTTTATTTAATATGTAGCCGTTTTGTTGATTGCTTCTTATCATTATTGAATATGAGATTTTCTAGGGCTTCCCAAGTTCTAAAAATCTATTAAATATGCTAACATAACGTATTTAGAGGATTCTATAGCTACCCAATTGCCCAAGGCAAAACAATGACAAATCTTTTTTTAGCAAAGCGGTACGAAATCTGCCGTTCTCCTTTAAAATCTATCTGGAAAAATGTTATGGACACTTGTCTTATTGATTTCGACCACAAAGTGCAGTGGGCGGTACCACGTGTCGCATCTTCTCCTTTGTTGGCTTCAGTCCAGTTGTTAGTACACCGTCTCCTGTTTCACCAGACGCCGGCACCATGTCTTTCATAACTTTTGATGTATGTCGGCGAACTAGATACAATGCCCGTATCTTTGTTCACTACTCAAGATGCTCTTTTATTCATTCTAACAATAGCTCAGCTATAAATAGTGTGGAAAGTGAAAAGAAAAGTGCATGACATGCCGCCTATGGACTTTTTCTCATTGGTATTATCATAGTAGGTACTTTAGTCGCTCTTAGGAGTGCTATGATTACAGAGACTTTTTTTTTTTTTTTTAAGGGGGGAAAATCATCGAATGACTGCCCCCGCCTGGGTGAGGCGGGAGGGAGTGTCAGACTCTTACTGACTAAAAACCACCCCGTTCCTTCTCCTGCACGTCGAGCCGGGGCCCCGGTTACCCGTTAGGTTCTCCGCGACTCCGATGATTACAGAGACTAAAGAGTGCCTGATTGTGCGCTCCAATTTAAATTATACCAAAATTTCGCATATTTACCAATACAGTTAGTTAGTTAGTTGTAGCAATGTATTTAGGTGACACTAATAACTGATAATAAGGAAAGGCTTCGACGTACATACATATGTATTATGTACATTAACAAATAATAGATGGTTTAGCTTTTAAAAAGTTTATTTATTAACAAAACATGATTTTCAATTTGATGATACTTAATAATATAAATTAATGAGATTTTGCGGCTGACGCTATTGATGGTTTGTGTTTATGGCTACGAGCATTCTGGAACCCTTGCTGTACTGCTCCAGCGATTGCTGCTCCTTGGAAGAATTTACCCTGAAAATAAAGAAAAGTTTTACTTATTGTTTAAAATGTAAGGTATCCCTATTTATTACGTCTTATTTTTTGCTTGTCATCCTTGTCTAAAGCTAACAGGAAACTCAAAGATTAAATATGCAAAATCGTTTAAGGCCATAAACCTACGTCTTGCACGAGCCAATCTCAATAGTAATTAATTATCGAGAATTTATAGCTGATTTACCTTATATAATGCTAGTATTGGCATTCAGATGTTAATGGAAATATGTTTATTGAGCCTTCCAATTATAATTAAATAAATAATAAAAGAAATATTGAAATGACAAAACGTAAAATTTTGTCTAGGTACGTACCAATCCATCTTTTAATTTTTGAGTCCATGGTTTTGGAGTAGTAGTACTAGTTGTGCCAAATAATGAGCCAGTCAATGTCGGCACGCCTGACGTAGCACACGTCACTACGGACACGTGTGCGCATAAAGCGACTGCTAAAAGAATAACCAAAGCGATCTTCATTGTATCGTCGTCGTGTCTCAACTACGAATCACCTCAAGCCAACAGTAAAACTTGGCTTTTATAATTCTCGAATACAGGAAAACATTCAGAAAAACCACAAACTTGCTTACAACTATCCCCATTCAGTTTCCAAGTTGTTCTATCATTGTGTGTTTTACTAAAAACACGTATAAACCCACGATGTGACACATTAACTACTTTTATTGTTACTTTAAATATATTTGTAATATCCTACTTATGATTCTACCTATTAGAATATTTGAAAATGATATGATAAATTATATTACTTACACATTTTTAATCATTGCTATGTAAGTTGTGACAGACCAAAGAAGCTAATACGGGTTTTAACCAATTCCTTTACTATGTAAAAGGGATTTCCGATATGTTTGTGAGCACAACAAGTGCAGGAATTCAAGGAAACGCTTACGTGGACAGTGTTAGTAATATTGAAGGTGAAAATATGACTTAACATCACGCCATTCTGGGCTGTCTGTCAGATAACTGGTATCCTATCGTATTATTAGGTACCGTAAATAATTCTAAACTCTAAAGTTTAGCCATACTCAGTTTACGCTTTATGCTGTATTTAACGTCAAGTTTTAAAACAATTCAAAAACGGTTCAGGTTAAATAACTGTCTGTCTGGATAGACTGTCAGCAAAGAAAACCACATACCCATCTATAGTCCAACAGGTTTATTAAAACTTTCAGTATTTTTTACAATAAATAAGATTTACATAAAATAATTTATTTCTAAAACTAGATGAATATTATCTATGAATAATATTATGATCTAAAATTAATTCATAGAGAAACAAGACAAAACATTTGAGGGTTATTCGAGTACCTATCGTATCATTTTTTGTTTGTGTATTAGGTTAGTTTCCAAGTAACCAATTCATTACATTTTTAAAATGTGGACAATGGTTTCTCCTAAATAACTAATATGTCAGAAAGTATTAAACTGATAATGAGCATAAAATACAAAAGTCATTATTATTTTTAGATTTATACGTGACCAAAACTAGATGGCGCTGCCGACATGTCGACATCAAGCTCTTGCTAAAAAACGTTCTTAAATTGAATTCTATTGAATTTTCATGACTTTTTCGATTTAAAATTCATTTTAGTCAATTGCTAAATTATTAGATTTCCATGATGTGATTACTTTTATTCAAGGAACACAAGGCCTTTGGCTTCTTGTTAAAAATCAAAATAAATAAAAATAAAACATTTTTATTGAGGCGGCAACCCTATTGATAGCTAAAAATAAGGTTAACACTTCATGCTTTCGTTTTAAAATAAGCTGGAATGCACATAATTGTCTACATACATTTATAATACACAGTTTGCGTCAGTTAGTCTTAAAATTACATAGGTTCTTTTGCATAATGCCACGTTTACTAACAAATTAAGTATTTACTAATATTATAAATGCGAAAATGTGTTGCGTTGTTTTTCTTTCACGACACAACATATGGTAGGTACTTCCTTATGATTTTTTGTGTTTTTCTAGCTGGTTAGTGTAGTAGGCTAGAGAGTGTATTTATAAACTATTTTTTACATCCTAGAGCCACAGGCAAGAAATAGGCTTATATTAAAAAGTTATCTTAATGTTTCTTCTTGTGTTTTGGTTTGAAGAAGGAATAGACATCATGCGCAGTGCTGGCTATGTTAATCGCCCGGAGACCTTTACCCTGAAAAGAAGAAAATTCTATATTAGTCTGCGAATCTTGTACAATCATGAAAACCATAAGGAGAAAGTGATACGTAGGTATTAATCACATACATTGTCGATATTATATTGTGTACCTCTTTATTCTACCTATTATATACCTAGCATTAATATCACATCCACACATTTTTCAAATTGTGGTGTATCTTAATTACCTTGGTAAATATTATGTAATACCTTGGTAAATATAATGTCTGCAGGGTTGGTGTGGTGTCTAGGCAACCGGCTGCCGTGCAACGTGTCGCGGGTTCGATTCCCGCATGGAACAACACTTTGTGTGATCCACAAATTTTTGTTTCGGGTCTGGGTATGATGTGTATGTGAACTTGTATGTTTGTAAACGCACCCACGACACAGGAGATAAAATGCTAGTGTGGGGCAACGTTTTTTTAAAAAAATAACAATAACATAATTTTACAGCAGATTCTCGTGCCTTAATAGTTAATCCACAACTTTTTTATATAAGTTAGAATAAAATAGCTGGGGAGCCAGCATATACCTAAATACAACATATTATTATAACTTAAACAACTTAAAACAATACAAGGAGGACTAAAGGCGAGGCCTTTGTCCAAAAGTGGACGTCTTTCGGCTGTTGATGATGATGATGATGAAATTTATCACCTATGTTCTATAACTGGATCTATTTAGACAAGAATGCAAATTGGAATATCATAATATCTTATACATAATAAGTACATAGGTAACTTAGGACAATATAGTAACTACAACCCCGTTAAACCACCATTAGTACCCGACCTGGTAGATAGGTAATGGTATCCAGACATTATGAAACAGGGCTTAATTCTTTCTCGGCTCGTCTTGTTTAATGGATTACTTAAGTGGATTAACCTAATTCTTAAAAATGGACTAACTTAATTCTAAAAAATGTTACTCTACAAATTCCAAACAAGGATACTTACAATCGCTGCGCCCGCCTTTTTAATTGCCTTCACGGGTATCTTTCCTGGAGCCGCTTCAGAAGGCACCAGAAGTGCAACCACCACGATCAAAATCACAAACACTTTAGTTAACTTCATTTTAATTGATTACTTTGACGATTATTATAATAGGTATATTTTAATCACAGAGTACCTAAGTACGCAGTACATAAGAACTTGGTAATGACTTATGAAGTTGAACAAAACGAGCCGTGTTTTATACACTAAGATAGTATAATATCGGGACTTTACATATCCCGAAACCGTGTACAATGTACCGAAATCGTGATGCATTATTTATTTATAGTTATGTAGATACACTATTTGACTTTACTTGTGTTAATTTCTGTGAATTGCGCATCTGAGTGATTGCGTCATTTAATGTTATTGTGATAAATACATATAAACATCCCGATAAGCCATGCTCTCCAAATCTCTTACAAAGGTTTATAAGTAATCAAGAACAAACATATTTATATAACATATAATAAACATAATAGCGATTACATCTACCTCTAGTAGTACTTAGATCAAGTGGACCACAGTGACTGATAAGTAAGGCTTCATTCTAAAATCAAATAAATGGCTTGCATTATATGTAAATTGTTATTGAATATTAAGAATTTTAATGGCTAGGTATATCTTGTTGTTCGTAACTAGGTTTTATTATGGTTATACCATGTCCGTATTAACTACCAAGAGCGTAAATTGTGCTAAAACCTCTAAGGTATTCAATTTTCTATTACGATTATATCTGCGCTCTTTAAAAAACCTGCAGCTGTAGCCAAATGCTACTTAGCGCTTGTCTTGAACCTCATCCGGGTCTGAGTGTGATGTGTATGTGAACTTGTATGTTTATAAATGCACCCACAACACAGGAAAAAATCTTAGTGTGGGGAAACGTTAAAAGAAAAAACACATACCTATCCTAACATCAACAGTGGACGGTTAATGATAACGAATAACTTACTTAGCAAGCAAATATGATTCAGTATCTACTTACCTACTTCCAAATTCACGGGGAAAAACAGTCTGTCCCAAATAATACCTCGTTCATGACTTTTACAAACATTTTTTTTAGTTTTAAGACAAGTCATAAATATTGATAACCCAAAAAACTTAAACAATGTACTTAGAAAATGTTGAAATTTGTTTTTTATATATTGAACATCGTTAAAGATAAAATGTAAAAGTAGCTACCTACACCTAACTACCTACATATCTATCTTCTTATTTTCGTTGTGTAAGCATGAGCCATCATTTCTGACGTTACATGTTCCGACTTTCCGTAACATTGACAAATTACTGACTCCAAATAAACAGGAGTATTCACATCGTACTTTTAACGAGAATACGGTAAAGAAAAATGTATACAGCTACATCTTAACATATTGAACATACGCATGATACGCAAAACATAGTGAATGCTTTGAAACGTGTGTTCATATTATATTTTTTTTTCAAAGTCTAAATCAGTGTATTTTTTCAATCAATCCTCAATTAGGCACTTTATCATCATTATCACCATATTGGTATGTACCTACCTACTGCTGAGAAGCGAACTCTCATACGGAGAAGGTATGATCATGTTCAAGATGGATCGTCGATTTCAAGGTGAAATTATAAGTACTAGTGTCACGACATTTTGCTTTACCGTATGTCAGTGGTATTCAGATAATCTTAGAAAGTACATAACATAACATAACATCACGCCTTTTATCCCCGAAGGGGTAGGCAGAGGTGCACATTATACCACTGTACAATGTAACACCTATTTTTCACTATTTATGTTATGAGTCTTATGTAATAGGGGGTGAGGCTATTGCCATATACCGGGCACAATTCCAGACTCCGTGCTACTACTGAGAATATTTAAAAACCCAGTTATACCAGAAACTAAATATAACTTGGAAAAAGTCGCATAGCAAAAGTTGTGTCTTAACATCCGGGCTACCACGACACGGTATGACGCAACATTCATAATATTCACTATGTGTACTCGTATGTATTCTTCTCTACCCACCACTTCCAGTAATAAAAGGTCTGGTATTACGTTTACTGGGGAATTTTTTCGGTTCTTAAAATGTAGTAGGTACTGTAGGTACCTGTATCTGCGCCTTTAGTCACGTAACTAGAACTTAGGTACTTGGTAATTTTTACCCTTACAAAACAAATTACAAAAAATCTACCAAACGTTATTATCCTACACGGAAGACGCGAAGTGGCGAGCAGAATAAGTTACAAATAATCATTTTCACAACTTCAATACCTTTTCCTATTTTTGACAGCTCCTTCCCTTTGTGGCGTAGTTTTGGCTCTAACGCTTCCGTCTCGGAGCCAAAACTACGCCATCCACGAGTAGTGCGAGCACTAGCTGTCATCAGTATAATAACGACCGATGGCGTGAGTCCGATTTTATGCTTTCTGCTACCCTAGAAGAAATCGCCAAATTGACTGTGACGAAACTCATTAGACCCCCGCTTATTTATTAGAGTTGAGTTTTATTTTAGCTTTTTATATTTACTTATATGTACATAGGTAAGGTGGTAAAGTATAATACTTAATATAGGTATGCTGATTATACTTGCGTTACCTAATCTTTCGATTTGCTTTAGAGAAAATTTTAATTGTAATTACATATTATGTACCTACATAAACATTGGCATAATAGGTCTAAAACATATCTTAATAATATTTCGAACACTCATACTAATAGATACTTTAAATTCAATTAATTACATAGGTACCTACTTCATATTATGAATAATTTGAAGTGAGCTGGCACAATATCTTTACTATATTATATCAATTGTATATTATTATATTATTATATTATTTGGCCTTATATCTAAAATAAGGATGCGTAGAGCTTAGAGACGCTTAGCAGTAGACGAGCAGGCTGTTGATGAGACCTAAAAGAGCTGAAACTACGTTATATTGTATCGTATATATCTATTCTTTATGCAATACCCTAAGAGGCGCTTACCATAACTACTATATTTAAAATTAAAAAGAATCTATGTTTGATAAAGAAAAACTAACAATGATTTCAATAGTTACGAAGAATTCACATTGAGAAATAGGTACCTACTTTTAAAATTATAAGCTATATCAGAAATTGGCATGAAAAGCCTGATGACTGTCGAGAAAGCGAAAGAGGTATGTAAGAATCGTAGCAATTAGCGTTCCATAGTCTCTGCTTAGGGTCCATGAAAGACAGGCGTGAGGTTATCTACCTATGTATCAAAAAATGGAACATTTATCCCTCCAATTTGTTTTATAACCGATTAATAAGCTTAGGAAACAATGTAATATAAGTATGTGTCTTCATAACAGATGGTTGGTTAATATAAACAGCACAAGTTTTATCTCAGTTTAATTTTAGCAAAAATAAATACAGAATTGCGAGGGCAAAGGACTCAACAACAACTGTATGTAAACATTTTCTTGGCCTTCGATCAATTATTGATTGGTGACAGAGGAAAAAAGCCTCTAGCCCTGATTTTTCCTGTTCTTCAAAGCCTTATAAGCATCATGCACGTTTCCAGCCGCATTGATAGCACGAAGACCATTCTTCTGGGAAAATATATAAAATAAATTGATGAAATAAGAAAAGCAGGATTATTCAAGAGTTATAGGTAAAAAGGGAATTCGATTGCATGATAATATAAAAAGTATCTTTAGAGAAATGTTATTTAATTTTATTGGGTTGGTATACGTCATATACTTATTATACTCTTTGTACGTCATTAAACTGGGCAAACTAATTGTCAGATTTCTATTAACAACTGACAGACATGCATCCTGATTTTTTTACACAGGTTCAATGTCCATTTAGGGTAGAATCTTACAATATATAAAACGACTTACAGCAACTGACCCCGCCTTCACTTTAGGATTGGCTTCAATAATACTGATAAACAACGCCAGAACTGCTAGCATTGCCACGAACTACGTAAACAATTTCATAATGACAGACTTTTCTTGCAAAAGATAACACAGACTCACAAAAGAAGACACACAACTGATATTTTTCCTTACATTTCCGTCTATTTATTTGATTTCAATATTCTTACAAGTGCAGATTATTATCACCATATTAGAGCTGATGATAATTATAATTGTAACAGAGAGTTATTGTGAGGAAAATATTGTCTGAATTCTACTGAATTGAGGCACTACTTAATTGAAATTAAATTGTGTACGTGACTTGTAAGTCACGTCCACAATTACTTAAAAAGGAGCACCTTCGTATAAGGGAGACTCCCGACTTGATCGGTAATAATACAATTTTGTTCCAACCAATTGCGCGGTCACGATTTCATTTCATGCGCATGTTATTTGATATTGGCATAAAGTGTGTATGTAATACTAGCTGGTGCCAGTGGGTTTGCACGCGAACTCGTGGGGTAAAAAGTAGCTACTCTACCCCTGTTCCAAATTTAACATCAATCAAACAATTTAGTCCTAAAAGAAAAGCACGTACCTTGTACATAATCAAAGCTGAAATCTTTATGTTACACTGCATAAATCCGTCTGCATAAAACGATTTTTTGACGGTGCTGCACTAGTTGTGTGGTGACAGCAAAATAGAATAAATTGGTCACTATCAGCACCATCAGGAAGATGGTTCTTCATATCAGTTTAACAAGAATTAACGATGTCATTATGTTCAACACAAAGTTAATGTTTCTGCCAATATTGAAACTCATATTATTACATTAAATTATTGTTATGCGTTTAACATCACGTCTTTTATTCTCAAAGGGTTAGGTAGAGGTGCACATTTTTTTATGGAATAGAAGGCAAACGAGCAGACGGATCACCTGATGGTACGCGATCAGCGCCGCCCATGGACACCCGCAATACAATGCCGTAAAGGCCGGCAACATACCTGTGAAACCTCTGGTCACAGGTGCGTGACCAGTTGAAAGTGAAAACACCCACTTTTCACTATTTATGTTATGAGTCCCATGTAATAGGGGATGAGCCTATTGCCATATACTGGGCCCATTTCCAGACTCCGTACTACTGATGATTTTTTTTTAAAACCCAGAAATACTTTGCCCGTAATACTTTGATAATTTTGTGACCATTAAATTATATCACCTAGTCTATATGTTGAGTAAATGCATGCAGTACTTTTTGAGATCATCGCGGACATACATACAGACAAACAGTAAAAAAATTAAAAAACCATACTTTTGGCTTCAGTTTCATTAATAGATCACGCCCCGTTCTTTAAAAAAAATATTCAA